TAATGTTTATAATCTGAACAGATGGTCTATTTTTCTAGAACTGACCAAAAAATGAAATGTAAAATGTAAGTAACCTACATTTATTGTGAAAGGTACATTTAATTTTAATAAGCTGTTCTATTTTAATGATCTAAAGGACTGTACCTCAGGTAGGATCGTGATGTTGTTTAAATCAGGCTGTATTCATTCAATGCAGAGTGACAGATGCAGTTCTCACTTCCGTGGATGTAATAAAGGCACAACTTCACTGAACTTGCTGTCACGTCAGTTAGTGGGCTTGGAACTAACTCCAGCTCACTTGGAGATATTACACGTCGCAGTTAGGATGTGTAAGGCCTGCTGGTTTTTACTTGGCTTTGTTTTCCGATATAAAGCATGTTAATGCTAAGATAAAAATCAAAGCAAAATCTAAAATTATTTTTCTCTATATAATGATACATTTAATTACAATTAAAAGGACATCTGAGCCTAAATATGAACAGTGATCCCAAAAATACTGAAGGCAGGAAAAAGCTGTTTAATCTTATTTCTTCCTACTGTCCACTGCAGTCGTTGTAGTAAGCTATTTGCTGTCGATACCTGTATCACAGGATGTTACTTGTCCTTATTCCAAACCATTTCTGAACAGACACAGAATCATCATGGTTGAAATGGACCTCTGAGATCATCAAATCCAACCATACACATACACAAAAAATCCCTACAATCTCGGCCATAGAGCATGCCCTGAAGTGCCACATTGTTTTTTAAATACCTCCAGGGATGGTGACTCCACCACCTCCCTGGACAGGCTGTTCCAGGGCCTGACCACTCTCTCAGGAAAGTCATTCTTCCTAAGATCCAAGCTAAACCTCCCCTGCTGCAACTTCAGACCATTTCCTCTGGTCCTGTCATTATTCCCTTGAGAGAAGAGGCCAACCCCCACCTTTCTACAACCTCCTTTCAGGGAGTTGTAGAGAGCAATGAGGTCTCCCCTCAGCCTCCTCTTCTCCAAACTAAACATGCCCAGTTCCCTCAGCCGCTCAGCCTGTAGCGTTGCCTGGGGTTGTTGTGACTGAAATGCAGGACCCAGCACTGGGCCTTATTAAACCTCACCCCATTGGCCTTGGCCCATTGATCCAAGGTCCCTCTGGAGAACCTTCCTACTCTCAAGCAGATCAACACTCCCACCTAGCTTGGTGTTTTCTGCGAACTTACTGAGGTGCACTGAATCCTCTCATCTAGATCATCGATAAAAATATTAAACAAGATTGGTCCCATAACTGAGTCCTGAATGACACCACTGGTGACTGGCCACCAACAAGATTTCATCCCATTAATCACAACTCTTTGGGCACGGCCATCCATAGAGTTTTTTTACCCAGTGAAGAGTACAATTTTCTAGTCTATGATTCTCCAGCTTCTCCAGGAGAACGCTGTGGGGGACGGTGTCAAAGGCCTTACCAAAGTCCAGGTAGACAAAGTCCACAGCCTTCCTCCATCCAGAAGGTGGGTCACATGGTCATAGAAAGAGATCAGATTGGGTAAGCAAGACCTCCCTTTCACTCTTGGCTTGCAGCTTGTTGAAGTGATAATTGCAGGTAGATGCATTGTGACAGATACACTGACAGCCATTTCTTTGATATGTTGTAATGTCTTGTGGGCCAAAGAAGAAACAGGAATAAGTTGGAATACAGGAAGGGAATGCAGCAAGTGACATATGGCCCTTTGAAAGCCAGGATCTGTTGGCTGCTCTTTGGAGCCTGCCTGAAGAGTAAGAAGGGGGATCTCTGGCAGCAGTACAGGAGGCAGGGTAGAGTGGGAGCTTTGCACGGCTGTCTGTACCTGTAGCCTGCCCCGTGCCATTTGGATGGTGCGTAAGAGCTTCCCTAACAGCCAGGTGGGGGACGGATTTTAGATAAATATTTTGAACAGTGAAAGTCTCTTCTGGAAATGGTACACTCTTAAAAATCTCTGAAGAGACCATTTAATTTTGCAGTCTTGAAAATTTTTGAGATTTTGTGCAAGGTTTCATTAAGAACTCAGATTTCCAGTTGCTAATCAGCTGCGACCCTTAGTTCTTACCTTCGGTTACTCACAAACTTTTTTTGAATCATTTGTTCTCTCCTAAAAGATAGTATTCTACAGTGGGAAAGTAAAAAAACCTGCCTCTCTTCGTCACCATTGTGCAAACTGTTCCTTGCATTTAATTTCTAGAAATTGCTGCTATTAAGATTTATATAAATTCTGAGAGGGAGGGAGACTCCAAAGCTGCATAGAATCATAGAATGGTTTGGATTGGAAGCGACCTTAAAGATCATCTGGTTCCAAACCCCCTCCTCTCCCCCCACGTCCCCCATGTCCATGACACATGGATAGTTAAAAAAAATAATAATAATTGTACCAGGAATCCCCAGGTAGTTTTGAGTGCAACGTTGAATAAACCAAACCATGGATAGGTGAAGAACCATAAAGAAAACATGTTTCTATTTCCATAGTTCATACATCTGAAAGAGGAGAAAAAAAGCGAATTTGTTCCTTAAATTACTAAATAGAAGCATGGCTACAAGTTCAAAAAGAAGATGATGATTTTCAGTATTGCCAGACTCATTGGTTGTGTCTGAAAATGAAGATTTCATGTACTGACCTTCTGGATTACTTATTTTTGGGCACAACTCTAAATATTATGGTGCTATTTCATGTTTATTTATTATATCTGCATAAAATATGGAAAGTTTATTTCACAAAAGATTCTAACTTTGTCCTTGTTAGAGATAAGAATCTTTTTCCCACACTCATTAGAAATACAGTTTTTATGATACCTGGAAAATTTTAAGTGATTAGAAAATTATGCTGAAATTATTTGGTTTTGTATGAACTCTTATCTTTTTACCCTAGTATAAAGAAATCATTCTTGAATTAGCATACAAAATAACCCTTCTGAATTCTTGAATTAGCATACAAAATAACCCTTCACAATCTCGGCCATAGAGCATGCCCTGAAGTGCCACATTGTTTTTTAAATACCTCCAGGGATGGTGACTCCACCACCTCCCTGGACAGGCTGTTCCAGGGCCTGACCACTCTCTCAGGAAAGTCATTCTTCCTAAGATCCAAGCTAAACCTCCCCTGCTGCAACTTCAGACCATTTCCTCTGGTCCTGTCATTATTCCCTTGAGAGAAGAGGCCAACCCCCACCTTTCTACAACCTCCTTTCAGGGAGTTGTAGAGAGCAATGAGGTCTCCCCTCAGCCTCCTCTTCTCCAAACTAAACATGCCCAGTTCCCTCAGCCTCTCCTCATAGGACTTGTTCTCTAGACCCCTCACCAGCTTGGTGGCTCTCCTCCGGACACGCTCCAGCACTTCAGTGTCCTTCTTGTAGTGAGGGGCCCAGAACTGAACACAGCACTCAAGGTGAGGCCTCATCAGAGACACCATCACTTCCCTACTCCTGCTGGCCACGCTATTCCTGATACAGGCCAGGATGCCGTTGGCCGCCTTGGCCACCTGGGCACACTGCTGGCTTGTATCCCATCAAAAGCGTCTTGTTCAACCAGGCCAATGATTTCGCCGCCCTCCAATATTGTGACAGATGAGGACAGCCTGGTCCTGGGGCTTTAAGATTTACTTCTTGAAGAGCATCCAGCTTTCCTGGACCCCTTTGCCCTTCAGGACTACCTCCCAAGGGATTCTCAACCAGTGATCTGAACAGGCCAAGGTCTGCCCTCCATAAATCCAGGCTGGAGGTTTTGCTAAACCCCCTCCTTACATCACTAGAATTGAACACTTGACAAATTTATTGTCACTAAGCCCAAGAAAGCCTCCAACTACCACATCTCCCACTGGTCTTTCTCTGTTTGTAAGCAGTAGGTCTAACGAGGCAGCTCACCTGGTTGGCTCACCTACCAGTTGTGTCAGGAAGTCAGCTTCCATACATTCAAAAAATCTCCCAGCCTGGCTGCTCTCTGCTGTGTTATATTTCCAGCAGATATCTGGTAAATTGAAGTTCCCCAACCAGAACAAGAGCTGGTGATTGTGAGACTTCAGCCAGCTGCTTATAGAATACTTCATCTGCCTCCTCATCCCGGTTGGGTGGTCTATAGAGGACTCCCGGCACAAAATCTCCCTTATTTGTCTTTCCCGTCTTCCTTACCCATAAACACTCAATTTTATCATCACTGGAATCAAGCTCTACACAATCAAAACTCTCCCTAATGTACAGAGCCAATTAATCCACAAATTAATCCAATGTGAATTAATTCAAAGATAATTCTGACAATAACAGTAATTTTATATTGTGTGCTTTTATATGAGATTTAAACATACTAACTTCAAAATAAGAAGCATTTCAATAAATGCTCTCTGACTTGGGAAATACATGGCCAGGAAACACCTTGGATTTCTTGGGATTTAATGGCTGGATTGATGCAGGATTTTGTAGATGGGGTTAACCTAAAATATGTATGTGTTGAGTACCAGAGGAGGAATTGCGAATCAGTGCCCAATTCCATTAGCTTCCAATTCTTCCTTTGATTTCTTTTTTTTTTATAGTAATTTTAGGCAAGTTTTCTAATGTCATGTTCTGCATTTCTATGATAGAAATAATAAATTCCTTCCCTATGAAAAAACATTTTGAGACATGTAAGTAAAAAATGCTATGTAAGAGCCTTGGGTTATTATGGTAATTTAAGAGATAATGAATGTCATTCTACAAAATACTCAAAAAGTGTTGCATAGAATGCTACATGTTTTGTCTTCTTGAGTTTGAATTGCTGTTTACTTTCTAAAACCTAGACTGGTGCTTTGTTGGAACTTCTTTTGAAATCATTTCCACCTGTTTAAGCAGTTTTGACTTTGCTGCAGACATGGCACAATAGTTGCATTGTAGTGAGTTAGACGGCTTGTCAAATGTAAAACCTAGATTCTCATTTCCTTAGATCTTGCTGCTCTAAGGAGCATACTGCATAGTTTAAGCTTTTATTAACCTTTTTTTCTACACCTGTCCTCTTTCCCCTTCCCAGGATGCCTTTGAGATAATGGCTGAAAATTATGAGTTCAAAGAAAATGAAATATTCTGCCTGGAATTTCTGAGAGCAGCTTCTGTGCTGAAATTTCTGCCATTTCCAGTAACCAGAATGAAAGATATACAAGGGTTGCCCTGCATGGGAGACCGAGTCAGAGATGTCATTGAGGTAACATACCTCTGAATTATCTGCCTAGTGATTCTATTACAGATATACTTTTAGAGGTCACAGAGTGCAGCATTGATATCCGTGTGTATTGACATGACCTGTATTTCCTGTAATAACATTATATTATTCTCGTTACTAAGAATGCAATGATTTCTGAAAACCATTTGTTGTAACAAGGTTCTGTCATGTAATACCCGCCCTTTGGAATAAATACAAATTAGTAAATAAAGCAGTATCATCTTTGTATGTAATTTTTAAAGGCTCACTGATTTGGGTGTGACAGGTTAACTGTTAATAGTTTTGTTCATGTAACTTCTGCACTTGGCAACATCACTTCGCTCACCTGAAAGCTTTATTAGCAATACTATTTTTGCAAAACTGGTAAATATTTTAGTCCTTAAACCCTACCTTTCTCTGAGTTATAGCAGAGCCTTTTATCTAGGTGATGGATGGACTTTACAATCTTACTGGAACTTTGAGTATTCCCTGCATTTTTCTTTAATTCTTAGTCTTTTCAGGACCCCTCATCTCGGCTGCTGATATTCCAGCAGGAGGTCTCTGCTGTCTGGAGAGGTCATTGCTGAGTGTTATGATTCACTCTGGCTCCTCATTTGCCTCACTCCACCAATTAAGAATGTAGCCTCTGAAGTACTATTTGTACCTGCTACCTGGGGACTGGGAATTCAGTTGTGATCCCACAGAAAATAGGAAAATAGGATGATTTCTTGGTGTTTTATTGGTGGGGTTTGTGTTGGTTTGGTTTTTTCCAGTTTTTGTCAAAAAGACTATACACTCAAGAAAATAAGTATCTGTTCGTACAATGCTCTTGCTTTTAAGAGAATTAAATGCAACCAAATGGTGAAATATAATTTTCATGATAACTTATCATAAATAGCTGTTTTCTGGCTGTGAATTTATGAGTAAATAAATACTATAAAATATATTCCATGCTCCCAGTTTCTATTTCATCCTTGAGTAATTTTCTATCTTAAAGAGGACTGCAGAATTTGATCCTAATGGAATAAAACAATAGGCTTGCTAAGGATACTCTTCATGTTTGCACAGGTTAATAGGACTTTCTTTTAGATCATTTTACTACATTTTATTGTAAACTTGATTACTTTTCTTGTAATGTTTTTCTTTGTTTAGGAGATTATTGAAGAAGGGGAGAGTTCCAAAGCTAAAGAAGTGTTAAATGATGAACGATACAAATCATTTAAGGTAAATCTTTTGAGGTTTGTTGCTGCTGTTTAAAATTTACCTCTCTTTAGTAGAGTTTAGACATAACCACAAATTTTATTTATTTATATTATAATTTATATTTATAATTTATATTTATATATTTATATTTATTTATATTTATAATTTTATTTATAAAGAGCATACACAGTTGCTCTTAAGCTTGAACCAAACAATCACTTTTTCCCTAAAACTAATGTAATGCATACTCTTTGCTGTACGTTTAACCCAATTGGGTTTTTTGTTGGTTTTGTCTGTTTTTTGTTTTCTCAGTTGAGAAACAGTATCATTATAATACTACACTGTCTTATTCTGGAATTAAGAAAATATCAGGTGAATAAGATGACTCATCCAGTTTAATTCTCTTTTGTGTAAGGCAGAAGGAATAGGATTGGAGATATTTCTTTGTTAGGCAAATTGTAGATTCAGAATCATGGTCACAGTTCCTCATAGTTACAGGGAATCTAAATTGCATAAATACTCTAGTTCCCATTTCTTAAATACTCAGTGAATTCTCTACTGGAAAAATATATTTTCAATTTTATATGCAGTTTTAATCTCTGAAAATATCCTGTTTGTGTCTTCAGAAAAATTGAAATCAGAGAGTAAAAAAAATGAAACTCCCCTACATTGCTCACTTTTGCTTCACCTGTTGAAAGGTTCTTCCAGTCTCTCTGACCTGTAATGCAAGTATGAAAGGATGTTCAGTGATGCCATCTATAGTAGTACTCAGAAAAAAAGGTGTAGATTCACATGTATAGCAAGATTCAGGAAACAGACTGGCTTATTAATGGTAATAGAGATTGAGAATTAGCCATTAAGTCTTATGTTTCAATATTTAAGAAAATTTCTTGGGGATTAGAATGAAACCTATCAGGGGACAGATTACCTCAATATGCTTTATGCCTGGTTTCATGTGCCATATTACAACAAATTTACGTGGTTCTTTTCTTAGCTGAACACAGTCTTGATGTTTTGGCTAAATGGGCTGCAACTAGTTGTTCCCAACATTTTTTTATCTTGTATCTAAGAAAGCCATGAAGAATCCAATAGTATTAGCGAATTCCTAAATTTTACTGTTTAGCTTGTTTCTAGTAATAGCTGCAAATCACTCACACAGTCAGTTTGCCTCCTTATGGAAGTGGATGCTGCAGAGGACAAGTTCATATAATTCACTTTCACCAGCTGGAAAAGAGAGCTATGCTTGCATACACAATTGAAGAAATGGGCTACTTGCTACTCACTCTTGGCAGTGTCTCTAAATGGACATCTATAAATATGGTCAATAATAATGCATCTTAGTATGGAAAGAAAAAAATGTGGATTTTTTTTTTTCTAAAAATTTAGACACTGGCATAGAATTCATTTTCTTTAGCTCTTTATCCGAATATTAATTAAATCTCTTGGAAGAGTTATAAACCCAGTAATAGACCTTTTTGAAAATCTTTTTGCACTAGCAAAGACATCAAAAGATAATAATCTAAGTATTTGAAAAATCACATTCTTTCATAAACACCCTTGTTTTGGACAAAGAATAGGCAATTTCATCCATTATATACAAAATTTAGGGTAATTCCTATTTAATATTGTCCAAGATATTAATTCTTCTCTTTTCTTTACCTTAATTATTTCCAAGGAATTAATCTCATTAGGAAAACACAAAATAAAGCTAGTATGGTTGAAATTCAGAGGTTGTAGATTCAATGGAAAACAGCAGTTATTAATGTCTTACACAGCTACTCATTGAATTCTGTAAAAGTACAAAGAAACTATTGAGAGCTTCAGTGTTTGTAAATTGAACATAAAGAACATGCTTTTTGGGCAAGCATGAAAGTTTTCTGTCTTTGCTTTCATATCAGTGTTCAACTGAGATATGAGCACTGAGTAATGCTTACAACTGTGACATTTTGATTTACACCCTTTCTTGGGGAACAAGACTGAATATAACCATACTAAAACTTCAGAAACTGGTAGATTTGGTTGGGTTTTGGTTTTTTGTTTTGGTTTTTTTTTTTCCCAGTGGGCAAAATAATGAAATCTATGCTCCAAATAAGGCATATAGAGATTTAGCTTGGCTCACATAAGCACTGAAGAATTTTAAGACTGTTATACGTGAACAAATGAAAATTATCCTTTACTTGAAACTGAATCCCATTTTGGAAACAGTATTTGACATGACCTCCAAACATAGGGGTTTCATAGAATACAGTGTAAGAGTAGATTAATTATCTTTATGTAGTTAGCATCTGTTTCCATGCACCATGCCCTTGGTGCAGAATTTAAAGAGCCACAGGGTTCCCACTAACCCCATCTCGTGGAGTGCAGCAACACCAACATCATGCGTACAACTGAGAGCTGGTAGTGCATATCAGACAAAACCATGATGTCGGTCAAGTTAGGAAGATAATATTGAGAAATTTCTTAATCTATGAACTCAGAGCAAGGGAATACAGCTACTTAACTTTATTGTTTGCATTTGTATTAAGAAATGCAGTAAAAATAAAGACTACTATCCTTATTTCAAACCTTAGTTGAAAGTGTACATCACATAAAGATACTGGGGCTACTACCATATTATTGTTTAGATTTGACTTCAATGAAAACTGTCCATGTATAAAAACAATTGTCTGTTCAACACCACTATGTGAAGAAAGCAAGCTGCATCTGTATGTTTGTATTATACTTTTATTTATCTTTGATGTAGAATAAACTCAGCCCAGTATTTTCCCTGTATAACCCCATTGATACCTGCTTACTCTTAATTGACTGCTCCTTTAGAAAACAACACTGATATGTGTTCTTTAACTGATCATAGCAATTTACTTCAGTCTTTGGAGTGGGAGTGAAGACAGCTGAGAAATGGTACAGAATGGGTTTACAAACTCTGGAAGAGATAAAAGCTGACAAAACCTTGAAGCTCTCAAAAATGCAGAAAGCAGGTAAGGTGAAAATCTCACAAAACCTTTTATCTCAGTGCTCTAAGAACTTGATAACAGAATCAGAGGAGGAAGCAGCATTTGTTTATACATCCATTTTCTTGCTGCAGTGTCTTATGAATGGGCTCCTAATTAAAAATGATGTCATTCAAAACATAAGAATATGCATATTTTTTAAAATTGTTTGCACAGATACCAAATGAAATCTGTTCTTATACACAAAGCAATTAATGGGTCATTATTGCACAGATTGTGAAAAAATTACAGCATTAGGAAAGCCCAGGACCACTTTTCAGAAGAGACCTGTCTCCTTCAAAGCAGACCTACTTTAGTGGTAAATCAAGATTTGTAATAAAGTACTTGTAAAATTACTTCCATAATCCTATAACATCTTAACTTTAAAGTGTTAAACATGGTCAAACAAATAATGTTCCTTCCGCGTAGATTATTTTTTTTAATGTGTGCCACTTCCCGAAATAAAAGAACTCATTTAAACAAAGGAATCACTTACATTAGGAAAAGATTATATGATATGACATTAAAATAATGTAACTTTATTTTTGCATTAAGCCCGTGTGTTTTACATCACTTCAGAATCCTTGGATCAGCATCGTCCATAGTCCTTATTCATGCTCTTTTTTCCTTTTTTCTTTTACATATCATATCCAAATGTGAAGCAAGCAGCAGGACTGGGCTTTTTTGATACAGCTCTGTGATCAGACATAAAGATGGCTAGGACATTTCACTTACCTCTGAGCCCTGTATTTGGGTAGAACCCCTGAAAGGAAAAGCACTTCTTAAAGCAGTATATTCAGAAAAACCATTGATGTGAGCTGGTAGGAAAGTCAGGGTAATTTCAGATGAGGCTTACCTAGTGCTATGTAGATTTTGATAATTCCACAGTTATCAGCACTTTTTTGCCTTTGATTTCCAGGGTTTCTCTACTATGAAGACCTTGTTAGCTGTGTAACTAAGGCAGAAGCAGATGCAGTAAGCTTGATTGTCAAGAGTACTGTGTGTACATTTCTACCAGATGCTTTAGTTACCATAACTGGTGGCTTCCGGAGGTGAGTGAAAGCAAATGAGGTCACTTGACTGTTTTATTCAGGTACACACAAAATTACGTTTATGTCTTGGAAACAAAGCAGGTTCCTCTAGAGCAGGCTGGACAGGAATGCATCCAGGCAGGTTTTGAATTCTCCAGCGAAGGAGACCTCTCTGCACGGTTGTTCCAGTGCTCTGTCACCCTCAAAGTAAAGAAGTTCCTCCGCATGCTCGACAGAGCTTCCTGTGTTCCAGCTTGTGCCCATTGCCCCTTGCCCTGTTGCCAGGCACCACTGAGGAGAGCCTGACCCCATCCTCTTAACATTGGCCCTTAGATATTGATAAGATCCCCTCTGAGTCTTCTCCAGGCTAAATGGACCCAAGTCTCTCAGCCTTTCCTCATAAGAGAGGTGCTCCATTCCCCTGATGATCTTCATAGCCCTCTGCTGGACTCTTTCCAGTAGTTCCCTGTCCTTCTTGAACTGGGGAGCCCAGAACTGGACACAGGACTCCAGATGGGGCCTCACCAGGGCAGAGTAGAGGGGGAGAATAACTCCCCTTGACCTGGTGGCCATGCTCTTTTTAATGACCATTGGCCTTCTTGACCATGCTGGCATGCTGCTGGCTCATGGTCAACTTTTTGTCCACCAGGACTCCAACGTCTCTCTCTACAGAGCTCTTTTCTGCAGGTCAGCCTCTAACCTGTACCACTCTATGAGGTTATTCCTCCCTAAGCTTGCCTTTTTTGAATTTCATCAGATTCCCCTCCACTCAGCTCTCCAGCCTGTCCAGGTCTGTATGGCAGCACAGCCTTCTGGTGTTTCAGCCACCCCTCCCAGTTTTGAGTCATCAGCAAACTTTCTGAGGGTACACTCTGTCCCCTCATCCATGTCATTGATGAATATATTGAACAAGACCAGACCCACTACTAACCCCTGGGGAACTCCATTGGCTACAGGCCTCCAACTGGACTCTGCGCTGCTGATCACAACCCTCTGAGCTCTGTCACTCAGCCAGTTTTCAATCCAACCCACTGTCCACGCATCTAACCCACATTTGCTAAGTTTACCTATGAGGATGTTATGGGAGACAGTGCCAAAAGCCTCGCTGAAGTCAAGGTAGACAACATCCCCTGTTTTCCCTTCATCCACTCAACCAGTTCCTACGTTCTTGTGTTTTATTACAATAGAAGTTTGGTTTGTCAGAACAAAATCTAAGAACAGCTTGCTGGAAAAATGATGTTTAGATCACATACCTGACTCGAGCATATTTTTTTCTCTTTTAGTGGATCTGAATTCCCAGTGCTGAGACTATTATAAAGTCATGCTTGAAAGAAAAATACAACAGCTTTAAGGCAATCTTGGCATTTTCTCATCTGCATTTTTTTTAAGAGAACTTGCTAATATGAGATCAAAATGTGCTCAGGCAGAGTTTGTAGTGTTAGAGGTATACATTGAAATAAATACTGACTAAACCGAATATAAAGCACTGAATATACACCAACTTCTGTATAGATTAGGTGATCTCAGAATATCTTTCCTGGGTGATTTTTGTTCCTAAAGCTTTTGGTCTTGGTCTGTAACACCAAACCTGAAACTGTTACTCAGGGTATACACAATTCATTCTTTCAGCACTTGGTTGAGAGCTTTCCTAAAGCCACAAAGCTGCACAGCAATCGAGACTGGGAATGGTCTTCAGGAGTATCAGGTTCCTTGCTCTGTATTCAGTCCCCGCTTATGTCACTACTTGTAGTTCTTGTCATGCTCATAAATCTGTATTAATTATGTGCCTTTACATATACAGAGAATGTATAAAAAACCTGTTTCAAAATGTCAGTCCTAAATGGCATTTTACCAGCCCACGGACCAAAAGCCACAGTGAAGGATTGTAGAAAGCTTGATTTAATCAAGTTTAAACAAATTATTATTTGTTTCTTTCATCATTATGTAAATATATTAATAACAGAAGTAGGCAAACCTTATTAATCAAACTTGACTTGGTTCCCTTGTGCTATACCTTGTACACTACTAACATAAGAGAAAAAACAGCTCATGATTGCTCTGAATAATACATTAATTCCCCAGGACCCAGATTTTTCTTGTCTCATGTATTTATTTCATAACTTGGAAAAAATAAACAGTTGATTGTGTACAAGGAACAGCACTGCCATTAGCAATCTACAGTCATGGAAATTCAGTAGGGTGGAGATGAACTACAGGAAAGTTACATTTTTTTTTCTCAAAGCTCTCAAAGAAGCACATGGATATATTTAATCAGTTACTAGACCCTTTCCATTAGATTTCTGGAATTTCATGAACTCAGACATTGCAGTATTTCTTTTAATTAAAATTAGGAAACATAGTATAAAATTCAAGTAAATAACAGTGGTGGGTTTTTTTTGAAACCCTGGAAAACTTGTTCATGGCCTTTTCTGTGGTTTGATTTAGCTTTCACCTTTAGTTTTCTGTGTTGCTTCTAGTACTAGTTTTAATGCTAGCTAAGCTAGCATTAAGCTAGCAGCCATAATCATGGATAGTGGCAGATGAACCATCTTTCAGGTATAAATGAAGAAGCAGTTCAAAGGATTAAGAGCAAACACAAGAGAAGCCACTATCTAAAGTACAAAAGCATCAGGGTATCAGTCCCTCAGTAATCAAATTGCAAGCACAAGTGCAGGAACAGACTTGGCTGGCAGCTGTATGTTAGACAGCAACAGGAAAACAAAAAGAAGGGTTGTCAACGCACAGTGAAAATGATGGAGTCTTGAAGAGAGAAGGATATTTTGAGCACAGCTTTGGATGATTGTCTGGAGACTGTGTTAGGACAGTACTTGTGTCAAGGAAGCGAGATTACAGGATTAAGCCAGTAGTTGTCCATTTGCAGATTATGTAGTACTGGAGACTACTATTTGTGTATTTCTAATTCAGAATGGTGGAAGATTCTGAGAGAAAAAAAGGCCATAGACAGGAAGTGAAAATCAAATTTCTTCTTTAGAGCTATGTGGTTTAGTCAAAGTACCAGACCTACAAGTTGTTAGAGTAAGGCATGAAAATTGTAAAAGCTGATGTAATTTTACTGAGAACATACCAAGACCTGTTTCTCTGACCAGCTGCATGCAATTTATTTTTCCCTTTGTTCTAATATTCCATAGTTTGCTAGCCCCAAATTCTTTCTTTTGCTTCCTCTCAAGGGTCATGTTACTGAAGCAGAGTTCAGTGTCTGCTACTTCCTTGATGCCTTTTCTTTCCAATTCTTTCATCTTTTTGCCTGTCTTGACAAAGCAATAACTCATAAAACATTTTTAATCAGAAATGCTTTCCTTATGTCTTTGGTTGGAAATGGCAATAATACTACGGTTGAGGGCAACTCTCTTTTCAGCTATGTGAATCCATAAAGGAATATAAAGACTTAAAAGTAACTAAAATAAAGGGTTGTGAAGGCAACTTGAACCGCACTTGTCTGGGTCATTTTGAAACAGAAATTACAATACTGAATTGCATGGAAATACAGAATTATAACAGTTGCAGTTATGAAATAAATAAATCACACACATGTGGTGTGGAATGCATTTCATTGTCTCTCTAGTGAGGTCTATCAGTTTGACTTTAAAGAAGAAAGTATTGAAGATACTGGTAGTACAATATATAAAGCATACCATGGACAATGTTATCAGAAAGACTGATTTTAGTCTATTTGAATCAGGAATTGGCATGGCATTATTTTCAGTGCTCACCGTCTCTTATTTTGAATTGCTGAGGTTTAAAGGACTGTTTTCTTGAAGTTAATGAGACAGATTCTGAGGTGGGAATAGCACATCATATTACAGGTTACAAAAGCCACTGGGCTTCCAGCACTGAGCTAAAGAGAGGTCCTGGCATGAGGGGGGAAATAAATTTTATTTTAGCATGTGACATCACTGATTAGTACTGTGTTTGTCCCAAGTGTCTCCAAGTCAGGAGTGTAGTTTAGTCTGATGTATATTATCACTTTTAAATGAGAGTTAAACTTGGGACGTGGTAATTTTTTTCCTGGCTATTAAGAATATATCTTATATTATGGAAAGAATGAAAGGTTTTTCAGAAGTAATAGCATTATCTCATCTTGTGCATGTTACAGAAAATGTGATTCCTATTAGTAATGTATTAATGCTATTTATTAATAATATTAACATCACTGCGGGGTTGTTAGCGAAGACAAGTAGACAGAGAGCTTCAAATTAGGTTTCACAATAGTGAAACCGGAGTAGTTTTCCCCCTTTCTCCCACAGCTCCATGATAGAAAATGGCTTCACAGTGACTTCAGTAAAAGGTTCTCATGCGCTGAATCATTATCACCACATTTGCTAACTTGATTTACCTGCTGGTATTTGGTTTTGCCACAAGAGGTGGTCTATATTGAGGGCTTCCTAAGAGCAAAAATACTTGGAGAAAGCTTTAAAAACTACATGTATTTTATGGCTTCAATCATTGTAGTAGTTATTAGTATCTCAATACACACACTCACAAACACCAAATTTGACTGGAGAAGTTCAGAAAGGGATCTGGAATAATAATTATATAAAATAATAAGAATAAATCATCATGGTCATTAACTGCAGTATGCCTTTCTGTTAGTCTTTCTGTGTGCTTTGTCCATATGATTCACAGGTTACAAATTACGTTTTGGTTTTCTTGTGATCCATGTAGCACACTCAAATAATTGTGGTTACCTGTGCAGCAGCAAGATTCTATGCCTATGATAAAAGCACATAGTGCCTATTGATAATATAGTAACTTATATTTTAGAAATATAGGGATTAGGGATTGAGTGCACCCTCAGTAAGTTCGCAGACAACACCAAGCTAGGTGGGAGTGCTCATCTGCTTGAGGGTAGGAAGGCTCTCCAGAGGGACCTGGACAGATTGGATTAATGGGCCAAGGCCAATGGGATGAGGTTTAATAAGGCCTAGTGCTGGGTCCTGCATTTCGGTCACAACAACCCCAGGCAACGCTACAGGCTTGGGGAAGAGTGGCTGGAAAGCTGC